AACTTTTTATGTAATGAGGTTGTGAGAGCAGAGGTCTGGAAGCCTGGCTTTATGGATGGCAGTGTCTCTTCATCCTGTGTTGTTACTGTTTCACCCTGACATGACAAAATATCTGCAAAACTAGTGTTTAGCGCATATTAGAAAATTGGAATATTCCACTTGCTATCAGCATCTTTTCCGCATTACTTTCTTTACACAATCCAAACTATAGACGTGGTTGTCAAAGGAGCTTGCGAAGAAAAGCGTCTGGACTTCTTTAAGTTGCTTGAAGACGTTTCACCTCTCATCCGAGAAGCTTCTTCAGTTCTAAGGTCAAATGGTGGAGAGTCCCAGATTTGTATAGATGTGGTTATCAAACAAGTTCACATGGAGGTAAGGTGGGGGGAAAAATGTGTGCACAAAAGCACACCTCAACAAGAGAAGCCTCCCCCAGCAGGATTTGTAACGTATCAGAAGCTGCTCGGGACCACCTTGAGGACACTTGGATTCTCCTTGGATTGTTAAGCCCCAGGTCCCAATCAAGTCAAAAACAAATGACTTCAAACTATGAATGTTTGTAAACTGAAACAGGCTCTCAACAGCCCCATGCATGCAGATAATGACAGGTCTGCCCTAATTAGCCGCACATGGACCCAGCGTGCACTTTATTTTACAGAGTGATGAGACCGTGCCAAAATGCACTCTGGCATCACTCTCTCCTGAACTCGCTGCGCCGACAAGGAAAAGCTGAAATACATTTTGTGTTTGACCTTCACCGTGTCCGCATCTCCTCCTTTCACACCGAGGACCGATTGCTTCTCCAGTTAAGCTTTTACTGCTGATGATGGGTCAGTGGGGGTTGTTTGTTATTCAGCGCTATACGCCCCCACTCTTAACACCTACCATTCACCCTCCAGACATCAATATTCCCATGACCCTTTATAACAACCCTTCTAACTCGGCCGCACAGGCCCAGGTGCACTAATGCAACTTTGCATGATCAATATCTACGATTTTTTTTTTTTTTTTAAAGGAAAAAAGTCAGCCTAGAGATCTGGTCCTGAACTTCTCCCAGCCGCTCACCAACCTACCCCACGCCTTCAATACCTGCTCACAGTCGGGGGCTGTTTGCGATTGAAGCAGCCGATTGAGAATCGATAGCAGAGCTCACTGTTGCTGCAAGACTGAAGAGGACAGCGGACAAGGACAAATGAAGATAATTTAGGAGTGCTGTCTTATCTGTTTGCTCCTGTCTCTTTATCTAATTTGGCAGTGAAACAGCACATGCAGCGAACACAAGGCAAGGGCCTTCCCTTTTTTTATTTTCGCACATTCAAGCACAAGAGGTTTGCTCAGGTTGTGCCGCTCCCCCGTCTGTGTCATCCAAGATTTCAAGCTATTCTAACAGAATTGACTTTTTGTAGATTTTCTCTGACTTCTATTTATCCTTTCTCATTCCTATAGCAGGCAAACGGGCAGATGAGAAGCTTCTAAGATGTTCCCCTTCACTATGTTCAGCTAAGAGGGTGGTCACCTTTGACTTGACTGACAGATAGTGAGGCCCCATGGGGACCTGGGGGAGGCAGACTGGGGGGAGAGGAAGATGACTGCCCGCTGGTTTGGAGGAGCTTTCCTTTTTACTCCCCTCACTTCTCCTTTCTTTTGTGTTGTGTGAGATGCAGCTCCCTGGTGAGTGAGAGGGAATTTCAAAGCGCCCGTGGAGGAGAGATGAGCTTCACAGATAAGCAGTCCAGGTGAGAGAGAGCTAATCCTGTTGTTACGCCTCGCAGGCACACAACACAAGTGAGATTTGGTAACTGTTTGGCAAGACCAACGGCGAACCTTTGTCAGTTTTTCCCCTCTCTTTCACCATCCGCAGCGCTTCAGACCCGAGTGGTGGTCGATACTGTGTACAAAACTTGTGGTTATAACTGGGAAAAAATTGGCTTTAAAATGTTGAGCCGAGAATTACACAAGCATTATGAATAATGCAGCAAGAGGAATTGTGATATTTCTGAACTATTCCTCACAATGCTGGAGGAGATTTTAAAAAAAACAACCCATAAATCCACCAGAAACATAAAATCCAATCAATGTTTTCTTAAAGAAGCTGATAGCTAAAGCTGATATTTGATATTCTGCAGGCAGTTACTCCACACTGACCTACGCTCGCAGTCGATAAAGCCCCACTCCCCCCCTCGCTCCCTGCGCTCTGCCAGCTGTGCTCTGGGCATACTGAACCTTATTCTGGGTAACATGATCACCACCAGGGTGGCACTCACAGCAAGGGAGCATCTGCTGTGGGAATGTGGAAGCAGGACAACTGTGTCCCAGTCACATGTTATTATGTGTGATGAGCAGCAAAACTGTGTAGCGCATGACCGCCGCTGCTGAATGGCAGAGGAACGCCAGCATTTCTTCCTTTAACTGCTGACACAGTCACATTTTGAGAAATCAATGTGGTTTGCATGACTGCTTGTCAGCATATTTTTCAAGGCTAATGAAATTCCAACATGTCACTGCATCACAGGACTAGTCCTGCGCATGGATTGCCACAGCTTGTTTTCACTCTGCTGCCGATCCGGCCTCTGTCCACCAACATCGCTCGACGCCAAAGTCATTTGGCACCTCTCCTTAGTTGTTGGTCAAAGTCCACAAAAAGCCCCGGACTCCTCCTCTATCTGAAACGGGCAACACTTTAGCTTTGTGCCAGTGTGAGCTCCCATCTGCTGTCCTGGCATTGCACACGCACGTGTAGATTAACTACCTCATCTCGCTGCATGCTGATCCCGGCCAAACCCGGAGCTCGCCCAAAACACGCCCGTATGACCATCCAGGTATCTCTGGTGTGGCGTGGCCCGACGGAGGTGAGAGGTCAGACAGAGATCAAGAGCCTCCCAGGAGAGTCACAATAGAGTGTGTTGTAATCTAAGCTCCGGGTTCATTCATAAAGCCTTCAGACTTACATGGCTTGGCTTTTTAAACACTTTTTATTGCTTTGTAACCTGAGACACAAACTTCAAACACACTAACAACAACTAGCTCCAGTTCCTTCACAGGTAAATGCAGTTAGAGAGGTGAAAGAAATGTATCCAGCCAAAAATCTGGCCTGAACAACTCTACCCACAATTCAGTGCAGCAGCATACCCCCCAATCCCCTGGAGGACATGATGTATTGGGCCACACTCCAGCAGCTGGGCTGGAGGTTTATGCAGGAAGTCGCAAACAAATTTAATTGTTTTGGGGTTTTTTTTGCTCAGCACCCAAAAAGGCTTATGATTAATTATTCAGCGAGTCTTTCAGCGTCCCTGCAGTGAAAGCAACATCTGTCATTTATTTAAAGCACACCAACTCACTGGGAATCAAGTCACAAACACATTATGGTTTCATGTTTCCATTGGAGAGTCTTAGCGCACCTGCTGTTTACAAAATAGAGCATGAAAAAGTCTCATAGTAAAGGTTGTCATCCTTGGTTTTTTTAGCTTGCAGGAGCTTAACGAACGTACCGCAACAAATTAGCTCTTTGTCTCTTGTTCAAACCTGGAGAACAGGTTTTTGTGACTGAGTCTACATGCAGTAGCCTCTTCCCACTAGGTGCACAAAAGATTTTTTCTTATCTAGGGTCTGTTAGTTTAAATGTTTTAATCATTGCTTATGACAAATTTTAAGAACTTCAGTTAAAAATATCTGTGACTCTCAGGACTTTTGTTCCTTGTTATTCTGGCTCTAACAAATGCTGTTCAGTTAAATATTGAGATGACCCTGTAAGAATACATGATGTAATTATATAAAGAGTGTAAGTCTAAGTTTATGTTGTCTAAAGGAACCCACATTTTTTAAGGGTCTAAGGGTCCCTGATACCACTATAAACAGAAACAGAACGCAGTGATTTACAGATCCAATCTCTAAATACTGTCTTTTTTTAAATTGAAAATTGCACAAATACAACAGGTCAAATGTTAAAACTGGGAGCTTCTTTTAAATTTATTCTTTTTAATAAAAGTATTTTGAAAAAGCTGGACCAGGGCCCCTACTTCAGGAACCAGATTCACCAAGATGAGCTTAAAATATAAACTGAGTTGATTAACTCAAAGATCTGAACAGTTTCCTGTTCCTAAAAGGGCGATTGGAGTTAGTCCAATCAGCTGCTGAATACACTCACCTTGAGTTAAGCGTGTGCATGAGTAGAGAAAGAAAGCCATCATCAATGGGGCCTGATACCATGATTCACTATGGGAACAGGTTTAAAAAATAAATACATACCTTAAATACCTTAATTTTAATCCAGTGGGCTGTGGACTATGTGGCCACTCTCATGTCATCATAGATCAAATAACAGTTTGATATTAAATGCTTAATTATTTTAAACAGTCTTTAAAACAAGAGTATCCCAAAGCAAGGCTACTGTATGTTAGGATGTGCAGCTAGAAAGGAAAAAGAAGCTAAAATAAACACAAGTTATCGTAGCCACTGGTAACCTCCAGGTTGCCTCTTTAGGTCCCTGTGCAGGTGCCGGATTCTTGTCTCTCAGCAACGAGCATTTGTGTGTGCAACAAACAAACATAAACATAAATAAAAACCCAACCCAACTAGAGCTTATGAATGGGTAATGGCACAGTTATGAACTAATATTCAGGAGCTAATTTGTTCTAATCCCTTTGCAGCAGCTGCATGACGACTGCTGAAGAACAGCTACTGCAGGGATGAAGATGGCTCTCACACACAGAGGCAGACTCACTCCAAACCCCCGAAAACGGTCCAACTTATTTGTGCGTCAGCTATAAACATTTTATTCAATTTCTTTCAGCCATTTAGAAAAGAATCAAGTAAGGGGGAAACAGAAGTGACAGTAATCTCTCTCTCTTTTCCCCCTTTTGGTCAACAATGCCAAATTACAAAAATCAGTAATGATCAGTCGTTATATTAAATGTGTTCAACCAAGTGAATTAAGAGAGAATTAAGATACAAAGCACAAAAGCTGCTACTATGGGTAAACTGGATTTAACATAGTGACTCATCTACACAAAAGGAGGTACGTACATCTAGCTGCACTTTTTAAAATTGTTGTTGTCGTTTTTTTAAGCAACTGGTTAAATTATGCAAGTTACTTGTGGGGTTCATCAGTGCATGGGAAACAACTGAACAATCGGAGAATAAATGTTCTTAACATAAATATGTATGCTTATAGATAAATAATAATAGTAATCACAGGATTTCATCATCTACAAGAAATGATAACATGAAACGATTAAGAGAAACCTGAGAATTTCTGACACCGAGCACAATAGCCAATAGTGAATGGCCATGATGATGAGACCCAATTGTTAAGTAGAATTTTTTGCACTGACTCAGGAATATTTCACGGTTGGATCTGTTGTGAAGAACAATACAAATACAAAACATGATCCAGCAGTCAGACCAGAGCAGTCAGTGGTGTCGACCTGTCAGCCACCTCAAACATTTGGCCCATTAAGAAAGAAAAAAGTACATCAAATAAGAAAAAAAACAAAACCCTGAGCTGCTGAACCCCTTTTTCCAAGCAAGAAATACAGAAACATTTTACTTTTCAACATACAAAATGTGTCTCTTCAGTTCCTAAACTCTTACTTAGTGTTGTTGAAAAAGGTGATGCAACACAACCATTATTACTTACATGCAGCATACATGTAAATAATGATTTTCATGATCTGAACATAGATCCACGTAGAGAGCTTCGTACATAATTTAATACTATACTAAGTGTGTGTTAACACTATGATAGTCTGGGAGTCAAATTCATCCCAAGGACCATGCTATGCTCAAAGAAACTAAAAACCCAAGAGCTACATCTCAGACGCTACAGGCCTCAGTTAGCATGTTAAATCTTAAAGTTCATGGCAATCCTTCCCCCCCCCCAAAAGGTTTTTCCAAAAGAAAGCTTCTCCTAACTAAAAAGGACATGACAACACAGTTTAGGTTTGCAAAAGTGCATCTGAATAAGTTACAAGCTTTCTGGAAAAATGACCTTTGGACAGACGAGACCAAACTAGAGATGTCGGCACAGCACCACGTTTGGGAAAAACCAAACGCAGCAAATCAGTAAAAACACCTCATACCAACTGTCAAGCATGGTGGTAGAAAGATGATGATTTGGACTCACTTTGCAGCTACAGGACTGATGCACATTACGATCATTGAGTCGACAACAAACTCCTCTGCATACCAAATTATTCTACACAATCATCCCAAGCACACCACTAAAGGTACAGGAGAGTGGCTAAACAAAAAGAAAAAAAATCAAGGTGTTGCACGGCCTAGTCGAAGTCCAACCAGAGTCTGACTGAAATGCTGTGGTGGGACTTTAAGAGAGCTGTGCATACATGACTGCCTGTTAACCTCAGTGAACTGAAGCGACTTCCATCAGTCACACAGGCGAGCATACAGAATGAGCACTTCACGTTGTTGTAGAAGCACCTTTGGCAGCAAACTACTGAGTCATGCAGTGTGCTTAGCTGTTCACAGGACTGCAGAGAGTCGTGTGAAAACTTTCTTTGACTGTAAATAGGTGGCATGCATCTTCTCATCTAACCCCTGGCAAGAGGCTGAATAAGTTTCTCTTATTTCCTGAAACCATTTCTTTGAAACAGACTTCAAACAGCAGTAGCAGTGAACCAGACTGAAAAAACTCAAATCGCTGCTTTGGTACCGAGGCTGGGAGAAGAAAGACTGACGAAGCACAAAAGACTTATTTTTACAACTACATTTATTTAAAAAAAACAAAAACAAACAAAAAAAAGCGCCCAATGTCTCACCAGGGATGAGACAGTTCATGGAGAGAGACAGTTTTTAAAAGCATACAAACCAGCAAACTGTTAATCTAGCAGCATCCAAATGTTGGAATCTCCAAAATCATCATTTATATATTTAAATATATAGTTTTGTTGTTGTTTTTCTTTTTTTTTTGCCCCGGCAAGCTACACACTTTACAACATACACAGAGCTTCATCTCTCCTTAGTGGAGAAAAAACAAAAAACAAAACAAAACAAATACCTTTAATAAAATAAACAACTTTAGGTTAAATAAGCTTAAATAATAGTGTTAAATACAAGACACTTCTGTGGCAGGTATGTACAGAAAATAAACACATTTGGCATTGTAAGTGTGGTTCACTGGCGCTTGCTCTAATGCTCTAGAAACCACTGCATAAGAACACATTTTCCTGTGATAAACTACACACACACACACACACACTCAAATAACCTCTCTCTCTCTGACACACACACATTTTTTTTTTCTATCAGTGAGCCACAGACAAGGCGTGTGTTTACAAAAAGGACTAAAAGCAAAGAGAAACAATCCACCGACAACCAAGAGTTTTAGGCACAGTCTCTTCCTCGTTTCATAAATACACGTCAAATACAACTGCGACTCGACAGGAACTCTTCACGCTTGTGGTAACTTCTTTTAAAAAACAAAAAATTTAAATAAAAACAAAACAAAACACAGTTTTGTAACTACCACTTTGTTATTGCTAGGACATTGTGACAGTGAAGGGAAACTAGTGACAAATGTGCGTAGGGAAAAGCACCTTTAAAACATCAAAATTACTGCCATGTGACCCTACATTACAACACAGAGGAAAGGAAAATGTGGAATTCATCAGAAACAAAACAAAAACAAAGAAACAAAAAGTCTGAAAAACAGCAAACCTCAAAACTTTTGCGACTTTGGAAACCGGAAAGCAGGAGAAGAAAGAAAAAAAAGATCTCAGTTGAGCTACATTCATTTCCCCCCCTCCCCGCCGTACGTTTCAAGAGCGCCACATGTGGATTCCTCTTGGTGCAAGCAGACAGTAAGTACCACTTCATTATGTCCAGTACATTCCTCCCCTCCTCCCTCTCGCCTCGCCCCTCTATACTTTCCTGTGTCCGTGACGGCCGGCACAGAAACAGCTGTGTGACAGTGTGTGCAGTATGATACAGTACGGCTGAGTATACAGTACAGTAGACCGATGCGACATACGTAGGTAGGTAGATTATATGTTCACTACAGTAAATGAGCTTTACATTCCTCTACTGTAAGAAGATCCCGTGGACAGGCGGGGCCCTGGGTCGTCTTTCTTGATTCCTCTTTAGTGCTGGAGATGGAGGTGGGGGTGGTGTTTCCCCAAGAGCCTCGTTCACCAGTTAAATCAGACACGACCCTGCGCTTCAGACAGAGGACGATCCCAAAAGTAAAAGTCCAGATCGGGGTTTCAGGTTTCTCACCCAGGACTGCACGATAGTCTCCTAAACATGGGGTTGTTTGAAAGCATCTTGATTACTCTTGGGGGCTGGTAATGGTTTGTTTTATAGTTTGTTTGCCTGTGGATCATCTGGGAGTCTTAAGTAGGAGTAGAGTGGGTGCCCGTGAGGAATAAAGGCCATCATGCTTTCTCTCTCCCTCTCTCGCTCTGTGTCTTAGGGTTTCTTGTCGATGGTGTGAAAGAACCACTCTGTGAACTTCCTGAGCTGCGCCGCTGCGGTCTGGCTCTCCTCCTGCAGTCGCATGTTGTCCTGTCTCAGGTGCTGCACCTCTTCCTGTAGCATCGCCTTATCCTCTTTCTCCTGAGAACAGGGCACACACACACACGTGAACACACGCAATCAACGCGAAACACATGAGGCAAAAAATAAATGGATACAAAAGAGGCTGATAAAAGCCCCGCTATTACAAGAACATCCGTCTTTCGTCAGCGTGGTGTAAATGGGAGGCATTAACATGGCAAAGCAGCCCTTCCTCTGTTCTGATAAAAGCGCATTTCCTCTCTCCATTTTAAGCACATTAGTGTAGGTGGGGAAACGTTGGGCTGGGACACAATAAGAAAAGGAAGCGGGATATTGAATTAAGTGGATGAGTTTGTATTACACAGACCTCGGGGCACGCATTACTCAGTGTCTGTTCATCTGAGCTGTGGGACACCGACATGTGTCGTTTGCTAATGTGCAAAAGGAGCGCACCAAGGTGACAAAAACATAATCGACAAAAGGATGACGCGGACTCACCTTTCTGAGGTCGTGCTGCAGCTGCCTCAGGATCACCTCTAACTGGTTGACTTTGCCAGTGAGCGTGGAGGGGGAGCTGTTTGTGGGGTAACACAGAAGAGGACGGTGCCAAGAGTCATTTATTTACACGAAATGAAACAATAATGACAGTTTAGCTAACAGTCAATATTCACTTAGTTCTTGTGTGTGTGTGTGTGTCAGTGAAGCTTACTCTGCTCCCAGCGCCGCTCCTTCCGCCTCCACCACCCGTCTGGTCAGCTCTCTCGAGATCTGCAGAGCCTCGACCCGCTGCATGTCAGTCATGGTGCAGAAGGACGCCACGCGCTGGTCTGGGAAAAGAACAGGTGAAGTAATGGGTCATGATCTGCCTTTGACATCAAAAACAGGAAATCTGTTAAACTAAAACAGAACAGATAAACACACTCGCACACGCATTCCCGAGTGGATGAGACGATTCATTCATGGCTTGTATGAATGGATGGCTCTGGTTTAGTGCACTTGCAAAAGCAGTCCTGCCTTGCTGAGAGATCTATAACCGGACAGCAGGGAACAAGGTAGTAAACAGAGCATTTCTAGACTACTACAGATAAAGTCAGTCCCTGGGGTGTTGCTCCAGTGCCCTCACCCCTCCAAGTTTCCTCTGACAGCTGTTTGGCTCATAATGGGCTGGATCCCAGGGAGCTGTAAGACACCAGCCATGCTTGTTTTACCATATCAGGCCCTTAAGCTTTGTCAAAGCTCCATGGAAAACCCAAACTTGGCATGTTACCCTTGGGGCCTACTCAGTTTTAGGGACTAATGCTTGTTTCTTTAGAAACCTGTCTTTCTCAAGCCCTTATCTGAGGCTAAAGATGGGGGAAGGGGGGGGGGGGTGTTCTGCATATTCATAGAAAAAGATTAAGGAAACCCTTCCATTAATTTAGCCCCCAAATGAAAGCTAATCCACTCGAAGACAAAAGCTGGCCGAGCCCGAAGTTGGTTTTTCAGATGACTCAGGGACGGGAGAGCAAGTCTTCATTTGCATATGAATGAACATCTTCCTTCATATTCGATGGCTGCATCACAAAGATTAAAGACTTCTAGGAAAAGCGGAGACAAGTGCAGAAAAGCAGCTTGCCGTTTTTGCGTGACCCGGGGTTCATACTTACTGGACAGAAAGACAGATTACAGAGAAGAGAATCTATGCTGCACACTGCATGTGAAAGCATTCAGCGACTGCACCAACATGCTTTGTTGTTCAAATCTACAAAAAAAAAAAAAAAAAAGAAGCCTATTTTCACTTCCATCTGCTGCTTCTTGCAAAAGTCAAAGAGAGCACAGTAGTTTTTATTTTTTCAGTTTGTTTGTTTTTTTATATAGTGCAAGCCAATCCAAACTGTCTTTTTGCATCATAAAAATGAGCCGTCTCTCAGGATCCACATGACTAAGGGTTATGAATGCCGTGAATGCTTTACATCTAAGCCAGCCTCTTTCCCCACTGGCTCTAAAAAAGCTGGTTAAACATACATGACACAATGGCAGCCCCGAGCCACTTTCTGCTCGGCAACAAGGCCCCTGGTTTACACAGCGTTTTTTTCTGGGCCAGCGCGGCTGCCGTGACAACTGCCTTGCCGCTGCCACTCAGACTCTGCATCAACTCTGCTGATTCGTCTCTCGTTAAATGACAAGACTGCGGGCCGTGCGGCAAGAAATGCATCAAAGGAGAATCTCCACAAAAGACTTCGTTAATTATGACAAACAAATGATTACATGCTATGTTGCCTGCTCACTGGTCCAGGGTCAAGGTGGACAAAAAGAAAAAAAAAAATACTCATGGCATGTGCGCAGGTCTGTGATAAATGGGAAATACACCGGCATGAGACTGGTCCAAAAAAAGGTATTTAAATTAGAAAAGAGATTATGATGCAAATGAGTGGTTTAAATGTACGATTGAGGGGGGGGGGGGAATAATCAGCTTTAAGTTTTTGACAGGAAGACAACCTATAAGTCTACATGAAAGCTTCATATCTAAATTTCTCGTCCCAGAGCTGAATACCAACAAACCCCCCGAAATGGAAAAGTCTGTTTCTTTCAGAAGATCACATTCGGACCTGGTGGTCAAGAGGGGAGCATAAATCATCCCAAACTTAACAAACGAAACCTTAACCATAACAGAAAAGCAGCAACACTCTGAAAACCCGAATGATGACTTGCTGGCCTTATGGTGGGAAGATTAGCTCCATGTCAGTGCTGAGAAATGATGGCTTTGTTCTTAATAGGAAATTGCAAAGGGGCCTGGGGTAGAGGTGCAAAAAGCAGGAGGATTCCCAAAAGTAAGCTCCGGAAGCACTTAGGAGCAACTAGAAGAAAACACATAGCTCACACAAATCTGCACATTCAAGCAAGCGGGCACTTGCAGATTACAAAACACACAGTCACACACGCTAAGCAGCCAGGAGGAGGGGGTGGGGAGTAGAAGTGGATTACACAAGGTGCCAGCAGCTTCATCCAGGCTGGTTACCTTCGAAGGCTCGTGCTGCATCAACCAGGTGAGACCAGTCCAGCCCAGAGGCAGTGTCAGGGAGGGGCATGAGGCCCGGGTCGCTGAACTTGGACCTGTCCGCCAAGGAGCCGTCAGAGAACCAAAACTCATCTGCAGAGACAGGCAGGCACGCCGATCAGTGTCTAGGCCTGGCCTGAGTTTAGGGCTAATCGTTGAGTCACCCATCAGTTTGCATCAGACAAAAGGGGTTAGGGGAAAGGAATGGGGAGGGGGGCGTGAGGGGGGGGGAAGCCAGAGAGACAATTTGAAGCGGATGGCTTTTGTCTAGCCTAACTCCTGCCAAACGCCTAATCTATATTCGCTCATCTGGCGAAATCCTCCAACAGGTTGGGAACCTTTAGAAAAGCCAAGTTCTGGATTTGTGTAACAGCATGATAGGCAAGAGTCACATTAAAACCACCTTCTCTGTGTGGCACTCGCGAGTCGCTGTCTGAGGGGCGATAAACGACTTGTCTAAGTGAATGTCTTCATGTTTCAATCAATAACTCCTTTCCCTCCCCTCTGTCCCTCCTGCCCTCCCCCCCCATCCCTGAAAGACAGAGAATGCAATAAACAAGCTCCCACTCTGCAGAGAGGCATTTAGAAAAGCATGAGTGGAGAAGCAGAGAAGAGACACAGAGAGCTTGAGGTGACGCTGACACTCTCCTTTCAATTTACCCAGCGTCTTGGAGCTTGAGTAATTCACTGTTTACCAAATTGGGGCTGCTTCAGTACGGGAAAGGGAGAGCCTGTGCTCTCAACTACCCTTCAAAACAATCAGGAATCCATCAGACTGACAGGCAGAAGAGGCCGAAGAGAAAAAAACATCTTTCCAAAAGCCATTTTCTATCTAAGGACAGCAGCGGGAGATGGAAAAGGGATGGTACGAAAATGAGACAGGAGGGACAGAGAGGGGTGGCTGGCAGGGACTGATGAGTGAATGAAACATTATGTATGACAGACATTGTGACATTCCTCATGGAAAAATAGGCATGTTCATGTCAGAGATCCTAAAGCAGCAGGCAGGACATCACACCTCTCATCGCTAATACATATTCAGTGGATGCTGGGAGACAGTGGAGCAGGGAATATTAGCCAGCAGTGACAGGTGTCTGCTTAATGCAGACGGAGCGGCAGGTCCCTTGCAACTAGCGAGCAGCCTCACCCATTTCCAATTAGATGACTATATTGAGGAGTGCTGCTGGAGTGTGTACCAGTTGTGCTTATGATATCAGCAAGGACTCAAGTGGCTCTTTGAACGAGTCTCGATATCCTGGCTCTTATCCGGTGCCAGAGAAGAGGATTGATAATCCAGCAGCGTCATTGAGAAAAGTGTGTATTAGCCTTCCTGTCTTCTGTTTGTGTGTTTTTTCACCGAGCTGGCCCGTCGAGCGTTTCGTTGCCTGTACTTACTCCGCAGGTTGGACGCGCCCTGGTTGTGGATCATGCGAGGCGGCAGCGTGCTGTGGTAAGGTGGGGTGGTGCTGAATAGGATGTCGTTAGGCATGGCTTGGTCCAGCATGGAGCTGTGCGAGCTGGCGTACGACGAGCCTTTCCGGTTACTGGACACGCTCTCGTCGGACAGCGTTCGGTACAGCGAGCGTCTGGGGGACAAGCTGTCCACTGCTGATACCTGAGAAGATCAGAACAATTTGTCAAGCATTACTCATAACAAAGAAAACAATCCTAGATGCACATTCCCCATGCTCTGCCTTTCCTCGGCACAGGAGGCATACACGATTGGGCGACTGGGTGGGCTAAACGGGGAACATCCGGGGGAGAGGTGGCAGGAATCATTTACAGTCTATGCGTTCAGGAAAATGCAGTTGGATTGAGCACAGCTGGAGAACGTCTGGAAGACGGGGAATAACAGGGCTGGAGGAGGTGGTGACAGAAGCCACTGCACTGTGGCAACAAGTAGTCGCTGAGTTTAATGCTAAAGCAGAGTGCAGGTTTCACAAAGCGAGACGGAAAGGAAAAAAACATGAGGAGGCAGTCGAGAAGTCTTTAAGATGGTGAGGAGGATACAGACAACTGGGTGAACTAACCACAGTGTCGTATACATGTGTGAGACTGACATCTGGACAATTACAAGGATAATTGTGGGTAATTTAACTTAAACAAAAAAGCAAGTATAAAACAATATTCTGTCTTGTGTTCGTCTGCACATCTGAAGTTTGCCTGCCTTCCAGTATTTTGGTATAATAGTGCAATTAGAGAGCTCATATAGCAGAGACAAGCAGGGGCCAAATCAGAACGATGCATGCTGTGATCAAAGAGAGCATGAGGTCAGAATAAACAATTATAAAAGCTGTTAGGGCTTGAAAAGTAGCATCACCCTGAGGGGATGTCTTTTGGAGAGAGAATTACATGGGATATCACTGCAAAGACACCACTGTGTTACAGCTGGCCACAGTTTTGACAGAGCATCTCCTCTTTAAACCCAGAAAACCACAAAGCCAGATCCCATCCGTTATGTTGCTGTTCAGCTAACATAAATGCAGCAGCAGTGACATCAAAAGTAGCCACAAATGATATGCGGAGCATTTGGCCAGATGGGTAAACGTCTCCCCTTGCTTCCCAGCTGTAACCTACACTAGACTAGTAAACCCGCAAAGCCAACACCCAGCCATCTCCATTTCAAAGACAAATCCCACGGTGAGAATTTAACAAACATCTTGTCTGTCTTTAAAGTGAGAAATATATACAGGAATTCAAAGCAATGCACATCTACTGCCTCTAAAGACCACCTCAGAGGCTTTAGCTTGACAAGGTTGTCTCTTATTGCAAGTTTTCCCACCCAACTTTACAAGATTAGACTCCCGAGGCTCTCGCTCATCAAAACAACTTTAAAACAGGATTTGCTGATCCTATATAAAGCATAAGAGCGCAGATTTGGAGCACCCATAAATGGAGTCACGGCAAATGAAAGCAATTCCAATTGGGCTTAATGTTTTTCTTTATAAAGCCATCTATTTAGTACATCAAAACAAGCTCTCTGAACACATCCTGGCACTGGTTAACTGTACCTGCTGTGCACATTTGGAGAAAATACTGTATTAATAAAACCTGCAAGATTATTGACTATTATAGTATGCCTAAATCCACCTCAGCTGGCAACAGTCTCAGCCTGCTTCGGGGCTGTACGGGCTTTGAATTCTTTTGTAGAGCAGCAACACTCTTATCAGTCAAAGCAGCAGTGGCACATCCACCTAGATTTTCCTGATTTTCCCGACTTTTTTTTTTTTTTTCCTTCGCTGCCCGCACCAAACAAAGACCCAATGACGTGCCACTCGGGAGGATGTGTTGGACAACCACCTTTTCAGATCGTTCTTCTTTCTTTCCCACAGGAGGTTCAAAAGAGGAACACTGTGGGCAAATAAGCTGTGAACGGCCTTTCCTTTACGTCAGCCACACAATGGTCTGCCTGTCCATAGAAGGTCGTCCCAGCGGACACTGTGGCTGGCAAGGAAAATCTGTCTGCACCTGCTCAGCCACACAAAGAAAGGCCACGGGCGAGTACCGGAAATGACACATGCGTTAACCTTTACTATAGAATCTGTTTCATTAACTGACAAATCATCAGTTCAGACTGTTTTATATAAGAATTAGAAATAAACCAACCGTGTTTCCAGCCCCATATAATTACTGTGATTTGATGACTTTATGTGCCAGCTGATGACTGAAAACACAGTGAAGCTGCTCCCAGAAAAGAACAGTATGTGTTTATTGGGAACATATGTGTATATGCTTTGGAGTGCCTGGCCCCGTGCCCTCCCAGATTGTTGCTCCACGCACTACATTATCACACCGAATCTGACAGGAGAGTGTGACAGCAGAGGTCCTGTTGCTCGGTGAATCTGACAATCAGTGCACCTTTGTACTGGCTACTTTCTTTATTCGTGGGAAGCAAAGTTACATCAATATTATGTGTATCCAAACAAGCTCAACACGCATGCTTTCATTTGAGACAGGTGCTGACGCTGCCTAGTTGTCTTGCAAGCGCCAGATTTTGTAAACCATAAGCTCGATGGTTGGAGGCAAGACAAACGAATCAGTGGACTGCTGCTTCGTGTTAGGGACGAGGCCTGTCTGTGACAGAGGACATGCTCGTCTTCTCCGGGGAACTGAAGTGCATTTGTATTAGAATTGAGCAGCATCCAAGAATAACCCATTTGTACATCTCCAGAGTCCCTTCCTGGTAGATAATGGATGGGGGGGATGGTGCAGGGAACTCGAGATGCAATTAATAGAGACTGCAGGACCCAGAAACATCAAACATCGATGTGCTCTCTGGAACTTCCTGCCTTTAATCCATGACATCCCGACTGAGTAAACTCAGCCCCTTGTTAGAAATTAAATTAACCAAACACTGTGCCAGTCAGTGGTGACTGAAAGGGTCCTGTGTCCAGAGAGAGAGTGAGAGGGAGGAATCCTATCAGCAGTGCCAGCATATGTTTGTCCTGCTTTCACTGGATTCCCAGCAAGAGATTTTCAGGTCTGGTTCTGCACTGGATTTATTCAAAAGGAGGAAGTCTGAGGTTTTTGTAGATACATCGTGTCAGTATAATAACAGAATTGTGAAGTGACATTTATTTGCATATTACACAGGACATCATAATAATGATAAATTAGAGGTTAGGGTTTCATTAATGCCCTCACCTTGCGACTCCTGTCTTCTCCTGGTGGGCTGTCGGGCAGCATCATTTTAACGTATTCCTCTTTCGAGAGTCTCTGCAGAGATTTTCCATCCCGCTCAGTGGCCTGGAGCCGGCATGCGGCCTCTTGTGCGTACAACTGCCTGTAGATGACACAGAGGGCAAAGAAGAGCATGGCTCATCACTAGGGTCACACAAAATACATCCCAAGGGGGGCAGCCTTGGAGCCATCACAGCTTGGGTTCAGAGGTAATCCCAGCTACTTAGAGAACAGGGACAGGGATCCGTCTTATCATGCCAACATCAGGCGCTTCCCTGCTCCATGCTAGTCAGGTGAATGCAGGATAACGGGGATGGAAAAGGACCAAGGGAGGGAACTTATTTCCAAATCTTACCCTGTTCCACATCACTGTGCCAAAACCATGATTACACAGGCTGCAAATAAAATCCAGCCAAGCACTGTGAGAGGTAGAAGGGAAAACAAGGGTTTGGGACAGAAATGACTTCCAGAAACAAGTGGAAAGCACCAACTAAAGGAGTGTTCACAACAACAACAACAGAGGGAGACATGAGAGCTGTTAGACAGGGCTGGAGAAGGACCCACAAGAGGTGACATGTTTTGTTAGCAGTGTGGTTGTCAGCAGGGTTTTATCTGAGAACATTTAAATGATTCTGAGGGTGTGGAGAGTTTACGGGAGAGGTTACAGGGCACGGAAGATGTGCCCGACCAGGCTGGTGAAGTCATGTGGCTGTGAGACCTCTGCTTTAAGTGAGCAGCCTGAGCTTGACACACTGAGTGCTGTTGGCAGGCTGTTAGGTGGCCGCAGGGAGATTCGCTAGATGGTTAGACGATGGGACAGCCTAGTTATGACGGCTACCTCCAGACACTGTTGCTGAGAGCCGCACTGTATGAAGCTTTTGGCAACACGGAGAACAGTTCCTAAATATATGTACCGTGTTTGCTCTATTCTGTTTGGCAGAAAAATAAGTGCAGTTAACTGAATTTTGTACACTCGTTGTTTGATGCCAAAAACTGCAGCAAAAAGTCCTCTGTTTTCCCACTCTACCTTGACCTGTCCATTTTCGCCTGAAGTAATTGAGCCATAATTATGAGAAAACTGGAACAACATTAAAGCCCTCATCTTTGGAGTTAAATATTACTCTGCTGTGCACTGGCATCTGTTAAATGCCTACAGTGTATAATTAACTTCTCAAGGGGCAGTGAAAAAGAAAGAATGGACGTTTTCATCCACCTGTTTTTAATACAAAGTCTGAGAGCTTGTGAAAAAGATGATAAAATTATTTTAGTCCAGTTAGAAACAGCAGAGAGATCCAAAAGAGAGGGAAGTATAAGTGTTGATAGCTGTTTGATGCTTAATATTGTGATGCCTTCTTTCGTTTCTCCTATCATGGACAAGCCATAGATGCAGTAGTGCACAAGATTTTTTGTTTTTTGTTTTTCTTTTGGGCTAAAGACTCTTAACAGTGGAGAAAAATTTTAAGGACCCCACACATAATGTAACCAGCCATCCAACCATTCAATTCATTGTCTGTCATGCCAATGTGAGGTTGTCATGGGGTACACAGGGTACACAACCTGGGCAGGGCGCTAGTCTGTCGCTCCGCTAACAGAGAGAATGACAATTTTTACACCTACAGCTATTTAAGAGTTTGCTCTGGATTTGAACGCAGGGCCTCATTCTTGATGTGAGGTGACGCTGCTAACCGCCACACCACCATGCCTTCCAGTATCTGGACTGACTCAAATATTTCTCCATCATTAAAATAGGTTAGCTGGCTAATATGCCGAGCTAAAATGTAGCAGAAATGGTTCACAGCACTCATAGAGAAGCAAATAGTTTAATCGCAGATAGAAAAGTGTTTCTATTGGCCTTCAGATAATGTGAGGTGGAGTCATAGCTATAATATGCATGTATAAAGCTGGGAATACTCTGTCCCAGACGAAACATAACCAAAGGGAAGCAATTGTGATGATAGCTTTGGTTGTGGTTATTAAAATTAAACTTCTAATAGAGATTTAAGCAGAGAGACTGAGAAGATATTAGATGGACAGTACACAGCAGTATGAATCTGTAGTGGAAATGTCACAGTCACTCATGCACAGCTGGTTGCTGTCCACTTTGAGCATGGTCCACAAGGCAGAACCAGCACTTGACACCGGAGGAGTGGGGGTACAAAGAGGGCGGGGCAGTGTGCGGGGTAAGCAGGCGGTGTCAGATCAGGACCACAGGGTTCACTCTTAACTGTGTACCTTGAACGCTCAGACAGCATTGTGAGAAGGAAGGTTAACAAGCTTTCCGCTCCTCTGAAACAAGAAGCAGAAGCAAGAAAGAAAGAGCCCACGGTTAGAAGCACTGTTACACATCCAGCCTTACACACAGCGTTAGAACAAATGAGAAAACTTTTTAGAATTGGGGGGAAAGAGAAACTTCATTATGTTAGGACAATATCTGTGAGTAATATTAGGCCATTTATCACGAGGCGCTGTTATGTAAGATGAAATAAAACGGTAGGAATATATAAACAAACAATGGGGTGGGTAACTGAATTACGGAGCTTTTTCATAAGTCGGCAGAAGATGACTTCAGTGCATGCGATCAATCACACAACCGTAAGTAGCAAATTTCACAGCCTAAATGAAATTACTTGGGAGCTGGAGCACGGGGTTCCTTCCAGGGCAAAATCTCACACTCTCTCTTGCAAAACACGCCCCGCTCGCAAACATCCTCCAAATCAGTGCACACAGACAGACACACACTCACAGCTACACTCACACCGTAAAAGCTGTTTCGCTTTCACCACCAATGGCTCTCTGTTCTCTACAGCAAAACCATTTAATCACCCGACAGATACAGTCAGTCATCACTGCTCATACAGACTGAGGATTGCATACATTCCTCTTCTGTGCGATACAGGCTATTGTGCAGATGGGCGTCCTCAGACTACATGTGCGACTGCGTGCGTGTTCCTGTGTGTGTCTTGATGCTTGGCTCCCAGCAGAGATGGTCGAGCCTGGCGATCCACAGGGACGCGGCTTCACGGGAGCGATCAATAACCGTAAGTGACATGTGCCAAGTGTATTATGTCCGCAGCTTCACTGAGCTTATTTATTTTGTGGCTGTCTGCTTCAATCAAGGCCACTCTGTGTAGGCTGATCGTGGCGTTGGGTTTGAGGTGGAGATGCAGCAGTAAGACGGAGAAAAATGTGCTGACAAGAGCGCGATTAAAGGGTGTTTTATTTAAATGTGCCTACTAGCTAGTGATAAAATCGCTGTGAAGCACGTGAGCTGAAACCTCTTTGTTTTTGTAGTTTTTTTGCACATTTGCTGATGTTCTCACACATTCTCTTCTTGCTTTCACCCTCACATACACTCACCCACACTCTGAAATGTTGGGAGGTTCCTCAGTGCTGTGGGCGGCATCATCATCATCATCATCAGTCGCCTTCGCGCCCACTGTGAATTTGCAACTGGACTGTGTGCGTGCCTGTCCACAAGCCTCTGAGCCGGGCCCAAGCCCGGACCCCTGTACCAGCTCTGGCCCTGAGCTGCTGGTCTGGGGGATGGTGTACACCTTGGAGGAGTCAGCAGACATACAGTATCTGGCACCACGGGCCAGGGGACTGCCAGAGTGGTGTGAGCCACTGATCAAACAGCAGAAAGAAAAAAAGAAACAGAAAACAAAAAAAAAAGGCATAACATAACTCAAAAGTGACCACAAAATGAATGAATTTAAAAACAGAGAAACAAAAAGAGGCAAAACCATAACAAAAACATAAACAAGCATTAGCAATAGAAATGGTGCTAGCAACATGTCAGACGTAAAGAAACGACCTATTAGGATCTTTAAACGGAAAATGGTTTATGAATGGTCTCCATGCTGCCGGGGTCGCTACGCTTTTCCTTATTCTCTGTCATTTGTATCCTGTTACAAGGGTGAACACATGTAGGCTCAAACTGTCTGTTTCTGTGGGGCAACAGAGAAAGGAAGGAAGACTTTGGCTTTTACAGAGGGAGGAGTTCAAACAGCTCAGACAGAGGATCAATTTAAAAGGCACTAAGGCCCGATATAAGATAAGTACTGATTATGAATATTTTGAATCATGTGAATCACGCAAAGATACTTGCGTAGTTTCCTAAGAAATATGGAGCTGTTCATGAGGGCAATAAGCCCCCTTTTAATCTAAAAACATCAAATTGCCCTTAAACCTACACTGGAAGAGGATTCGGCTGCAGTTTGTCATGTGAATATTCCCCCTGAACTTTGTCCTTTCAGTATTTAGTCAAATATCAACTGACAAAACACATTAAAGGGTCAGTGCACTCAAATCACATGGAGGCATTTTCTGCTTATTTACAATGCTGTGCCTTAGGCTGATTTACAGGCTTACTTACGAGCAAACACAAAATAAAATAACTGCATGCCACGAGGAAAATACTATTATTTTTGTTAACTGGGGAAGGTGACCCTTGAAGTTATGATCAAGAGGTCAAATACACACAGCTGTACAGCATTCATCTCGACTGAATGGTGTTTTTATATCACTTTACTTTATGCGATTCCTCGAATGTGTAAATGCTTTGCCTCTATCCAAATAATAAGCAAGATGATAAAGGATGGCGATGTCACACTCTGCAGTGATGTGAAAATGAGCCATGCATCAGGTAATGAACGCTGCCTTGCTTTGCTTTCTTTGCTCCTTTATCTTCCATTGGCCTTTCACATTTAAGCACTCCCCCTCTCCATACACAGTCTCACATCTGCTACAGCGTCCTTCATTATTTCCATAATTAATATGAAAGTGGATCGTTTGTGTGTGTGTCTGTTTTTTTTTTGTTTTTGCCTAATTAGGATTCATCTATTAGCTGCAGAGATGGATCTTAGATTTAGGTCCATAAAAGACGTTAGGGTTTTGCTACTCAAACATTCTTCTGAAACACCCTAAAGACATGAGAGCTCGCTTTGGCTGGAGGCACAACACACTGCTTTTCCATATTCATGCCCATCTGTGCCACACCCTGCAAATGTGCTCCTGCTGCTTCACTGTTTGCTCAGATGACACTCGGGTGTCAAAGACCATTACATAAAAGGTGGGAAGCATCAGAGCAGTCAAGGTGATGGCATGGGCTCTTTTCTCATTTCTGAGTGATATCCTGGCACGGTTACTTCTTCATACCCCCAAACAGGTCAATGATCTCAACAGACTGGGGGACCATAATCCTATATGACATCAACAAATGGTCACCCGTGCTGCTTCACACAGACAGACTGAGTGGCTTCAGGGCCGACCTTCAATGACACCATTTCTCTTTCCCAGATGGTCCCAGGTCAGGTAAGGAGGACTTAAAGGATAGTGTGATGAGCCTCCTGATGTTGCCTCGGCCTGACAGCAACACCGACCAGGAGCTTTCAGCACAACTGGATGATCCAGACTGTGTGTCAGCAGAGAGGGGGCACGGCTGGGTGAAAAGGTCAGCTAACAGCCAGAAACCTTCCTTTTGTGCACGTGTTTGCCTCTGCATGTGTTCAACAGATAGTGGGCCTGAAAACATCTACGTGGTGGAATATAGTGGATTTTGCCTAGAGCCATTTAAAAAAAAGGGGGTGTTTGAAAGTTCACAAAGGCAAATCAATGACCCCAAAAGAAGGAACTAAGCCACACCAGGAAAAACTATTTGACCACAGCAAAGAAAAACGGAGTGCTGTAATACTAGGAGCTTCTGGACTGAGAGGTTTTAGGTCATATTTCAGGCCTGCTTATAGAACAAAATGACTGTTTGCATCAGGAGTTACTGAGAGTAGTCTCTGCTTATGTAGCTACTATTGGGAAAACCCAGAAACTACTCTAATGGTCATAAAACCACATCTTTATTGGTATGCACGGCGGTGTGAAAAGGTCATCAAATGTCGTCTTTATGGGGGAAAGCGTTAAAACCTCCTAGGAAGGTGTTCATGCTCCAGAACAACTTCAGCGCTGCGGAGCATGAATCCTTGAAGTCTATCAGACGCTCTGTGTTTTTCATGATGGATTTAGAAAGCACATTTTAAGACAAGCATCCAAAAATCTCACTTAAGTGCTAAATTTGCTTGAGATCTAATAACAGTTAAGGCAAGGTTCAGCGCTGCATACTCAACAACTTCCATTTAAAGTTATCCTTTAATTTGTAACTCACTCAGCCAAAGTCAATTGTTTTGTACAAACGAGGACAAAAATGCTGTACCTGGAGTGGGACGAGATCTCGCTCAGGTCCCCGATACTGCCCTCTGTCACATGGCTAGACAAAATGGCAGAAGCATAGCCCTGCGGTAGGTACATTTTCCCATGATCCTCTTCCGACGCTCCATCCTCGTGGTGCTCCGACACCCACGGGTGTCCCTGCTCCCCGACTCTTCCCTGCAGCAACACTCGGGCCCCGGGGGCCACGCAGGGATTAGTGTCTATGCCGCTGTCAGTGGATGCGCCTTTGATGTACGTGAGGCCGAGCATCTCGGGGTCCATCAGGTCCCCAGAGCCAAAGTGCTTATCGTCACTGTTGCTGGAGGCGTTGCTTGAAAGAGTGTTGCTACTTGAGTGGCTTGAGTTTTTATCACCCGCCTGGCACAGAGAGAGAGAGGGAGAGAGCGAGAGGGGTGAAGGAGAAAGAAACACAGTAAATCAAACGAGGTCAAACAGCAGCTGCAAATAATTCTTACGGATGCTTTAACATTCTTGCCCTACCAGGCAAGGAGGGGGTTTACCCATCAGGCTTCCTCACACGGTCATGTGTCCCTGACTGAGGCAACAGCTTGTTTTCTTGAGGCCCATTACACTGTCAAGTAGTTGACAGTAATATGTAGGCAGGAATAAAAACAGACTATGCTGAATGTCACATACTTTGCGTGCAAACTCTGAAATTGTGATGCTTATTTGAGGAATCCAGATGATCATAAGCTTTGTTTTTTTAGCTCTTTTATCCCTCAAGCTCAAATACATTTAAGGTCACACCAACTTATTCCAATGTGCATCATCAGTTTCAAACCATGGGCATCAACAGCTACGCCTTATTTTAGAACTTAAGCCATGAATTGCAAAGGTTTGTTCTGCAATGTCACCTTTACTATGATTTACTGCTAAATTATTGATGCGGTTTTAGTCACAGCATAGAAAAAAAACAGTTGAAAAAGCAGGCTCAGTACATTAGAGATGTACAGTGCCAAGAAAATGTTTTAATTTTTTATCCACTTCTAACAGTGGTGGAAAACACCAAAACATGTTGTTTAGGTGCATTAGCCGGCCTCCAGCATCTGAGGAGAAAGAAAAAAGGAAGGCAGTGCTGGGCAAAATAACCATAAATCAGAGGGAGTGGGGAGAATATAGAGAAAGGAGAAACGAGGGGCTAAAACACTTAATATATTCAACCTTCAAGGAAAAGGTGTCCTAGAAACGCATGAAACAACCTGAAACAGTGATGAGATGAGATTTCCTTTAGCATGCTGATGAAGGGAAAGTGATAACTGCAAAGAGCGTCTAGAGGGGACAACATGAACATCTGCCCCAATTGAACTGATTGCAGCAAAGCCCATAAACAAGGGCAATCTGAGCTCAGCCTGAAACAGTTGTGGGATATAGCAGGTCTTACACAGACTCTAATGCCAGCACAGCACACTTCAAGGCCGAATCAGACCAAGTTTTCATATACGAAGACCTTCCCAAAAGTCGCAAATAGACTTCCAAACGTTATTAAAGTCACCTGGTCGGCTTCAATAAAGTGAAAGTGGATCAGACATTTACCCTGGACAGCTTGTTGGGCGAGTCCTTTCCTCCTTCTCTTTGCTTCAGAGGGTTCAAGATCTTGGTGGAGGGGATGTGCCATTTGGCCTCTGTGGAGCCAGAAGTTACTGTTACTATAGAAGCAGATGGCATGATTCACAGACTGTATGTAAAAGATGGCAGCAAGATATGTGGACAACAGTTTGTGAGATTTGCTTTGGTTTCAGGATTGTTACACTCTTGCTATACAGACATGCATGTTAACAATGACTACTTCAGACTAACCTGCAGACCTAGTCCTCTCCAGGGTGGGCTCTCTCTCTCTGTGGATCTCTCCATCCCCTCCCTGGATGTCCCCTACCCGCTCATGCAGGATAGGGGAGGGACACCTGATGGGGGGAGAAAAAAAAGAAAAAGGAGAAAAAGAGGGCAGGAGGGGGGAAATGGGCCATAAATTCGTTTTTCTATAGAGTGTGCTCTCTATTCAATTAAGAGAAAGGCTTCAATAGATTCACCACAGATGTACAGCAATTAGCTCAACATCATTTAAGGTCAAAACACTTGAGCTCATAATAGAATAAAGAAGCTGCCAGACAACGCTGACAAAAGACCCTTTTTCATTGGACTCAGCTTGCCGAGTGCTTTTTACCTCTTGACAAAAGGGTAAGAGCAGCAATTTTTTTTCAATGCGCGTCTTAGTTAAACCTTTTAGAGCTAATAAAGTTTACAGCAGATGAACAGAGGCCGCATTGTCTCCTGATCTCCGACAAAGCCCGGCAGATCAGTCGACATGTCTGCCGTTCTGCATCGGGGCAGCTCTGACAGGGCGCAGTGGTCCTCGGGTGTTCAATGCACATCTGAGGCCTCTGACAGAAAAGGCAGCAGTGGGGAGCTAAGCCTCTTGTCATGGTCTGTAACCACTTACAGACAGACGTCGGTCTCTCATGGATTCTGCTCATGTACAAGAATCAGCCTGACAGATGTTACGCCTGCGCAGTCTCCAGTCTGGGCTGCTCCGCGACATCGTTATATAATTGACGAAATGATAAAGACCAACATGTTGAAAAGAACATTGTAAAAAAAACAAATTGAGTAAAATAAGCGAACTGGAAAATTTGATGACAAGAAAGAATTTGTTGTGGCAATAATTAAGTTGGCAGATGATACAAAGCCAAATACTCTGACTCTGAATAATTTCTCTCTTTTGATTATTCATTAAACCCTTTAAATTAAATCGTTCTCCAAAATTCTGTCATAGTTCGTTAGATCGCCACGTCAGTCAGTCAGATTCCTTAAAAATGATTTCCAATTACATTTAAGTGCCACCCATTCTTTAATTTACTGAATAGCATGAGAAGTACGTACCCAAAGTAAGAAAAACACTTCACTTAGGTGGGATTTTCAACAGCCTTTAACCGCATGCTTCAAATTAAAAAGTGCCCATTTACATTCGAGGTAGCTTTTCTGTTCGTCTTTGAACGACATCTTGAAAGTAAAGCTTTGAGATGACTTCACGGAAACTATAATAATGCATGTTAAATAAAACTCATCTTCCATCTTCTCTCCATTATGCTCTGGATGTGGTATTAGACCATGACAGGCGTAATTTTATTGTTTTGTTAGATTACTTCCTAGAAGAAAGAAAGAAAAAAAAAAAAAAGCATGACGACTGGCCAAAAGTGCACTGATGATTTGGTCATTTCATGTGGAAAAATTGCTGTCATTTCGCAAAATTGCAAGTTCTCAGAAATAGTGCTGGGACTGATTGGAGCTGCATTCATTACTGTAAAACCGCATAATCCTGGAGGGACTACTTAAAGGTTATTTCCAAAAAACTAAAAAAAATTCACACTGCTGTGGTCCTGTACCCATCATATCCAGGCTGCTGGGACCATGTGCTGCTGCCACAGGGCCCTGGATCACTGGAGGACGACTGGTTGCTGGGGGAACTGCGGTAGTGCTGGTCTCCCTTGTTACATGAGGTGACCTGGGGATTCTCCATATCCTGCACAGTTCTGCAGAAAAAAGAGGGACAACAGACAGGAGTGGTTAAAAATGATTACAGATAGCCCATAATATATACACAGTTGTAGTTCTGACTAATATCAACAGCTTATTTGTTTATAAAGTGCAGATAATATCCTAAAATTGCACTTTAAAACAACAAAAATAAAAAGTCCACAATGTATAGGGACATAAATAGAGGGGGGTATTATCAAATGATTGTTAAATGATCATCATCAAATCATCATTTGGAAGGACTGAATCTTAAGGGCATCATTAAAGGCTTTCAAAAAAAAGAAAAAAGAAAAGTCAATGTGAGATAATGTTAGAGGAGGTAAAGGTGTCTCATTTTCAAAGGCAGAGAAAGAGGTTAGTTATGGCATTAACCTCATTCAGCAATCCAGATGATGATTCTCTGTGCGATTCCTCATGCTTAGCTTATTACTGAAGTTTAGTGCTTTCACCTAGTTTGACCATCACAGCCTCTGAGCTAATACCTTGAGATAAGATGCTTTGCTTGCTTTCGTCTAGCCAGGAAAAACTTGTGGACGATGGAGTGAAAAATACACACTGTATGTGACTTATGTCTGCTGCCTTCCCTTTAACCAGCACGCCAATTGAGGTAAGATGAGCGGACGGAAATAAGACTGCAATAACACAGGCAGTATGGCTTTCACATTAAAGCGTAAGCCAAGTCTTGTCGGATATCCTATACTCCTTATATCTGCTTCTTTTGTCCTCATACATTAGTTTGGAACCAGGTCTGAAATGACTAAATCTTTATTAAATGCAAAGCCAAGAGAGACTGTCACCTGGATCAGGTATTCAAAGATTGGAAATTTGCAGATAAGCGACTAAAAATGATCCGGTAGAGCTCGGATTCAAAAATGTAAGTATAAACATTCACAAGGCGACCCAAATTAAACATCAACACTTTCTGCTTCCTCATTCGGTTTCCCTTTTTTTCCCCCCTCCACAGGGAAATAAACTGTCAGTATCTCAGTTGTGCCACACATCATCAAACGCTCTGGCCAGATCGCTATGTTTTCTCTCCGGCTGTGTTAGTCAAGTGTCCAGCCAAGTCCAGGCACTTCAATTTGAGACAGAAGCGGCTGCTTTTCGTTCTCCTTTTTTCTTCTTCTCCTCATGTTAAGGGGGGAAAAAAAAGTTTTGAGGGGAGAGATCAGAGGGTTGGTCTCATTTGGCTGTGAAGCAGTCGTCATATTTTATGGTTGCAAGTCTAAATCCAGCTATACGTGTGGATGAAATGGCGCTTTATCTGAGCTATAAAGATTCTCGCGTGGCCTTGCGAGACAAATGGGTCCATGCCCCCTCAAAGCCTCGTGAGATGAGTAATTTAGTGAGACCACCTGTCGGGCTCCATTTTTGTTCATTTAAATTTAACGGGAAGGTTAGTGGTTCGGTTTTTGTTCAGACCTCAATCAGAGTGTGTATTTTAAAAAAAGGTGCTTTTTAAAAATAAAATTAGTTGAGCAGCACAAACAAATGTCCGGCTAACTTATGCTGATTTATTCCTACAGATCCTGCGACTTTATGACACAGTCTCGTCTTCCTCCCTTCCCCTCCTCCTTCTCTACTCCCACTCCCTCTGGGGCGCTTCATATCGCGGTCTAGGGAAGAGCACTCTCTTTGTTTCTGCAGTAATTGGATGAGATGAGCGGAGCTGTGTCAGTGTCCCCATCACCTCCTCCTCAGCAGGGTGCAGGAAAAGGGAGGGAGTGGGGGAGTTGGAGAGTGAGAGAAAGGAGGAGGGGAGTGAGAACGGAGAGCTCCGACTGCTAGGGACTCCAGGCAGAGAAGGCGGCCATTATCCCAGTATAGTCAAAACAGGCAATACTGGACGGGCGGGTGGGTGGTGGGGAGTCGGTGTGACACACTGGAAAGGTTATCGTGACTGTAGGGGTTTCATTAAAGTGAACAAATCACTGCTTTACATGGCTCAATGGAGATGTCCAAAAGAGACAGAGCCGAGGACGGGAACAAAGTCTGAGCGCAGCCTTATCATCCAAAGGGAGATGAAAGCGGAGCCGTGAATTCATTTAACTAAAATGCGCCATTTATATGTATGCAAATAACCGAGCACAATAACAGCTCCTCAAAGTGTAACTGCAGCTCTTTTCTAAATAAGAAAGGCTGAGAGTTCAAAGATTTCATCTGAAAGGACGCCGTCTTTACACTGTCGTGTTTGATGACGAGCCTCCGTTTCTGAAAAACCTTGAGCAGAAAGTTTGTGTGTCAAAAAAGACAAATTAAAAAATGTCTCACAGGATCATTTCTTTTCTTAATTTGTTTAGTTAATGTTTTTTTTCCTTTGCCTTTTTGCACCACTGTGACATTATGTAAATTTGTCCTGGCATGTGTGCAATGCTTACACATGAAATATATGATAAAGCCATCAGTGGATAATCACATTCATAAAGACCGAGTGGAGAAGCTATTTTCTTTCAGCGCGGGTAACATTTAAGCTCCTTTATTTGTATGTGACTCAATATTAAGCAGTGAACAGTGTATTCTGTCATTGTGCTTTTGTAATGCAGCCTCTCTACCGTACAGTTATTCGATCACCCATATTCAAGCGTTGCTTTCAACCCTTAATAAGTGCCAAATTGGGCATAGGCAAACAACAGAAGAAAGCTGAAGTGGAGAATAGTGAGCACCTGGAACCATCTGGCAACTTCCTGTCAAAGGAGGTGCTTCGCGGGATAGCTGCCTGGTGCTGCTGGAGGATCTGCTGACACTGCAAGCGGTCGGGGCCCTGAGTGGGCGAGCCTCGGGATAGCGCTCCGGCAGCCGTGGGCACCCGATGCCAGGTGGTATTTCTCCTGAAGGGCGTCTTGTACTCGCACGGCGTACCCTCGCTGTCCACCTTGTACTCCACCATAGGTATGCGGTAGAGCTCGGAGCAGCCCCTGAGAGGAGAGGGGCGAGAGGGAACCAAGGGTCAAAGTTCATCAATGAACAGAAAATGACAGGAGATGACGTTTTAAGTTATGCGAATGATTAATTAGCAGGATTGAACCTATTAATTTGACCTATAACCTCACATCACAATATGTTAAATATTTTATTTTTCAGCCATGAAACTGAAAATTTCATAATAATCTGTGAAAACCAGGATGAAGTGTTCTCACGTTGCCTCTCCAGGACCCTGCTGAAGCACACAAATACTTTTATTTACCCTGAGCCAGATCTTTAGACTTATATCGTGTTTATTTCTGCACTACTGACAACAACAGACCCACGAACATGTTCACACACATTTGCAAGTGTAAGCGGAGCACTAACATCACTTAAAATAGTTTCCCACCATTTTCGATCATTTTCACAAAGCTAAAAATCTGAGCTCGCCCCTCGGCCAGTAATGGGTATTCCCCGAATTGCTACACACTGGTAGCTTTTCGGTGCACCGTCTCCATCCACTTACTGCTGACATCAGTGAAGATCTCTGGGATGGACAAGGCCTGTGATGCCATTTCATGCAACATTAATCACCGAGGCAGCGGCTTGGTGCGTATGTTTGGAAAGAAGGGGAGGGATGGGGGTTAACCGGGTGGTGGGTCAGGGTTAAAAAGTGTGAGCACTCTGCTCACTCTCCAAAGGCATTTCAAGCATGACCCTAATGATTACACTTGCCGAACCCCCCACCCCCCTCCCCACCCCCTTTAAAGTCCATTTTCCAGCATCCACTGGGGAGTGGAAAGCTCTGTATACTTTTGCTGTGGTCATAAATGTATACATAGAAGGGTTTGAGGAGGGTGCACTGAAGGAAGGAGGGGGGAGTAGTAATCCTTCTCAGAAGGACCCTTTCATCAGTCTGGGCCATGGGTGGCTGGGCTGTTTACACCAGACTTCCCACTGGAGCTGCGGGTGTTATAAGATATAACTAGAAGATCATCCTTTGCTTCTTCCTCTGTGTCCTCTCACATCTGGTTGATGTCACCGCCAGCTGGCCTCATTCATGATGAAGAACTACATCCTGCACATCTTACAGTGTACATACTTAATTGTTTTCACAATATGCATGCTGCATGCATCACTGGTTTGGTATATAGGACAGTGAGAGTATTGAGCACAAGTGAAGCTGTTGTATGCGTAAAAAAGCTTAGAGATGAGAACATTACCTCTTTACACTCAATTTGCCAGCCGAGGTCTTTCAATTATTGTTCCAGACACAAAAAAAAGACCCAAAAAATAAAAAAGACTGCTGGTCAATTGTTTTTCAAGATGGTTGGCACTAGCTTGATTAAATGTGTGTGCAATGTCTGTGTGTGTGACAGAGAGAGAGCGCATGTGTGTGGTCATAATAGGTTGCCACACATCATTACTCTACAAAGAAAAGAGCTATCCCCCAGCTAACAGCTTGTCAACAGTGAAGGTCTCAGCTTTATTCTCTTGCTGTGCTTTTTGCTCCAGAATGACCAAGAAGTGACAAAGTGATTTGCCCATATGATCCAAATAATCTCCATCAGCAGTACAACTGCAGACTTAATGGGAACAGCCTTCATATTCATGTATAAGGAATGTGCCTCTTGTATAAAGGCGACCCGAGACTGAGTGTATAAATCATAAGGAAATGGCAGGAAACGGGTGTTTGGTCAACAGTTGGAAAACTTTAGCTGGAAGCTGGTGTTGCAGGAGAAGCTGTCGGACATGTCCAGCCAGGCATGAGCAGAGGAGGAAGCGAGTGACTGGTGAGAAAAATAATAACCGTCTTTTTCCTCTGATTCCACAAAGAACTGCTGCGCCTCTCTCCCAGTTTAATGTGAGTGGCTATAAATTATGCCACAATGGCCTACATAAGCTTAGAGAAAACTACACAACTGGAGACAATGCACAACTAAAAATAAAGCTCCAGGGAGAGGGGGGGTACTTTGACAACAAAATCTACAAAACCTGATGCAACTTTACTAAAATACCATCACAGGTCATTAAAAATGTAATTAAAAAAACTGTGCTAAGCTTTGTTAGTGGGTGATTGGTGGAGAACATTCAGCTCCTTCAGCCATTCGGCTCTTAACGAATCACAATAGATCAGTGTGACAACAGGACCTTAGACCTCAGTCAGAGAGCTGTCAGTCCAATGACAGGGCCAGCAAGTGAGGGGGACATGCTAATCCATTCCCACAGTCATAGTCCTTGTCACGGCAAAGAGTCACAGAGGTCGTGACCTCCACCAGTGCTGTGCAGACTGTTGTCAAAGGGTTCATTAAACGAGGTGTGCTGAAGACTTAAAGATGAAAAAAAATAGACTGATCTTTGCAGAACCCCCCCGCCCCAGCTCCTATGAAGAATGCGAGGGGATTAAGTAGGACAATTTGTGATGCAGTTTCTAGTTTCTTTGGGTTTAGTGGTGCTCCATCTTGGATGGGTGCTGGCATGGGAAGTGAGAAATCCAGCTTTGCTTCAGTCCAGATGAAAATCCACAATGACAAGTCTGATGGCACTACAAAGGAAAGTGGCCATCTGAATGTCATCGTCAACACTGTGACACAGACTGAAGACACCATTTCAAAAGTAAATCTTTGCAATTAAAACCTAAAACGACAATATGATATTAAAAAAAGAGAAACAAAAAGCCGGGACTCAGCCGGAATAAATGTCAGGGGAAAAAAATCCTTACTGGCCACGTAGCAGTTGATGTTCTGCTTCTATTTGTATGTCTTGTAATGAACATACATTTTAGTCCATATTGTACTGATCCTTCTGTTTATCCTTACATCTCTGATGACCGCATACCAAAACATACAATCTCTGCCATGTTCTGTACATCGCATTCCTGTTTCAAAGAGCTAATCTTTTTCATCTTTTTCTCATTAGTTTTGATCCAAAGCTAACATGCTGAACTTGTTTAAGGCTTTTCAGAGTGATGATGGAAAAGCCTCTGGTACTGTGCTGAGCTATAACCACATCCTGCCCCCCAGTGTAAATAAATACAGTACTAGGTAAGGCTAATATTAGAGACATCTCACAGCTTCAGGCAGAGCAGGGTAAATCCATTTAGGGCATAAACAGCTTTAGGAGGTTTGCCACAAAACAATGCTACACTGTATAAATGATTCCTTGTTGCAATCTAATGTGACATAATCTTAGCAACAAGATGACAACATCACTCCTCGCCGAATCACAAAAATAGGAAGCCTAAACAATATTGGAGCGATTTAAAAAGAATAAAGAGGAAGCTCCTTCCAGCCACCGCATGTACTTATGAAAACATTTTTCCTTGTCATGGTAGCAGCGTGGAGCCAGGGTACATTGTTTGAAGGTCATGAGATGCTTGTCCATTGTTGCTAGATTAGTCCTCATCTCTCTGGCCACGGGGGACTGACTGGGGCCTTCGGGCCCCCTGCTGAATTCCTTTCCTTTGAGATAATGCCAGAGAAACTGGAGCACTTATTGTTGACTGCAACACTTTAGCAACTCCAAGACGCAGCAGCGAAAAGCGTTGAGGGCCCTCGAGATTCTTCACCTGACCTCTCACCTCTTGATTTGTTGGGAGTCTTGGGAGAATATTCAGAGGAGCTTAGATGGAGGCGTTTGGTTCTCATGGGGGCGGCGTTGAGGAACTGTGTTTCAGTGGGGACGGGGAAGGCTCAGCAGCACTGACCAGTTTGCCGTTCTGCTGCTACTAATGCTCACTAATCTGCCAGATGCCTCTATTAGCAAATGCGATATATGGGTCACACTCTGTTCGTAACACGTCACAACACATATTATACACATTTAGTATGACGTAATCACTGCACAAGCTTCTGTTCATTTATGTTTATTTCTAACCCCATTTCTTATTGGCTGTCCAGGCTCCCATTAAACAGTCACTTCAGTGGTTTCAGCTAAACCAAGCCAGAAGTCTTCACCTGGCACAGATGCCACAACAAAAGCTCTCTCTATCTCCATCCTGTAAATACTGCTCTGATAAGCTGGACACATTTGTGGAGACAAAACCAGTTTCGGAGGATGTTCCGTTTTATCTGCTTCTTCCGTCCCCGGACCGCGACGATGATTGCATCGTCGTGTATCATCACAGATCGTGGCGAGAGGCTTAGACGCCGGTTCTGCCAGAGAAGCTGCTCTGTCGGCTTCACAGACAACACACGTTAGCTCGCCATCTGGGGGAGCAAAAATGTTGCTCCTCTGTTGCCAGACCAGAAAGCAAAAGTTAACTACTATGCATGCTTTATATTTTGATGCACACATACACACAGCTGTTTAATCATATATTCATTCAGAACATTAAGCAAGGCTTGTCATTATCATTATTTACCAAAACACTCACCCATCAGGGATTTATCAAGATATTCACCAATCGCCACTTTACTTCATGCGTTTAGAAAGCACACAAATACAGTCAAAGAATGAAAATACACAGTGGTTCATTAACTGCTGTTATCTATGTGTTATTACCTTTAACGATTAGCTGGTATATTAGCATTACCTGTAACAACGCAAACAGAAAAATGGATTTGTATTGAAATATTCTTTCTGCACATTGTCAAGCCATTCTGTCGTGGCTGTCTGTGACAAAGTGGAACCAGCATTTTCCTGGTACATAAATCTGTCAGCCTGAAGCCGAAGAAAAACAAAGATGTCGAAAATGTGAGTGTGAAGGAGTGACGGATACGATTTCACAGTGCTGTCTGTCTCGCACAGACAAAACAAGCAGATGTGCTTTCAGAACAAGCATTTTACACAGACCTTCGTCTCTTCCCATCACGCACACACAAAGGGAAAAAAAAAAATCATTTGAAACACGCTCCCTCATTTATTTCAAGGGCGGTGGACTCTCTACGTGGGAGTGTGTCCCTAAAAAAGGCACACACTCCCATCCTAATTGCTGAACAGAACGTTGAGCGAGGTTAGAGAAAAGCCATCTACAAATGTGAGCTGTCAAACAAAGGCAGCGAGAGTTGAGCCATTAATCAAAAGCCTCTTCTCATTATCATTAGTGGGAAATGCTGACTGTCCGTGTCTGCGGCTCTGCAGGCCTGCTGAAGATTTCTCTCGCAACAAAGAAAGACTATCTCCAGAGAAATCAGTGGAGGACGACATCATCTCCGGTGCAACACAAACAGTATGTAAGCATTTCTTTATGCTAATCGCCTCAAACACGAGAGCAAATGTCAAGCTAATTTACACCACCTGCCAGGAAAAAAGAAGTAAACCAAACTACTTTTCTGTTATGGCTTCATTAATTTTGGGGGGAGCACCTGCTTCTGTCTCGCTAACCGCAGGACAACAGGAAACAACAACAGGAAATCTGCATTTGATTTTAAGTCATTTTGGCTTAATTGCTGTAACAAAAGTGTTTGCACCGAGGTGAAAATGAGACGACCAAAGAGTGAGGGTTTACCTTCGGGGAGTGCCATCTTCATAAGGTTGAATTATAACCACTTTGACGGTGACTGAGGTGCGCAGCAGGTCAATCATCTGCTCGTGAGTGAGGGTAGCAACGGCCACCTTGCAGATCTCCACCAATCTGCTGCCCTGTCTCAGTCCTGCCTTCCAGGCGAAACCAAAGGGCTCCACGTCGGCTACGATGCCCTCGAAATTGACGTGGAAGCCGAGCTGGCCGAGGCCATTCCGGCGAAGTGTCATCTCCGTGGTTTCGCACCCTCTGGTGGCGATCTGGAAGCAGAATGAAAACGGCCGTTTTTATAATCTACGATAAAAGGCAGGTGAATTTGTATTTCACGGCACAGATCCTGAGCTTTAAAAACCGAAGGACTTAATAGATACTTTAGCTGGAAACAGAATGCAATACACATGACAGTGAGGAGATGAGACAGAGAGAAAAATGAATGATCTTAATATTCTTTAATAAGAGTCTTCAAAGCTAACAGAGTATATTCCAACAGCGAATGGTTTGCATCATTTGTAAGATGTGTGTGGGTTTTATTACACATGCATGCACAAGAAAAATACTATCAAAGCCTCCAAAGCAGAAGCAGAAGTCCTTAGGCAGCAAGCCTCCAGCATGTTTGTTTGGCTAATTCAAAGAACCTTTCAAACTTGAAGTTAATAAGAGGCTACATCGCACGGCTAACCGTCTTGCCAAAGAGCCGCACACAAATACACACCTGTCTCTGTGGACAGTAACTACAGTAGCTCTTTTCTTCATGCTGCACGGGGAACGCAGATCTAATTGGCCCCTGAGACACGGACATGTCCACAGAGCCGAGTCTATTAGGTAAAGTCAGTGTCAAGGGAGAAGTTTGGAGCGTAATATTTATATACAAATACATAATCTGCATCAACTGGCAGTTAATTAAAGCACTCCCCCCCCCACACCCAGCATGAAAAGATGACTCACTTCACCCTCTCTCGCCATTGTGCAGACTGCTGCCAGAGACGTGACACTTTCCCTAAGGATTCTTGGTGGACAGTCTCTGCTTGTCCAGTTGCGCTCTTGGATGAAAATGAAAGTTGGGTCTTGTCCAATTATGTGCTTACATGCAAATTAAGCTGCTCGCTTTGCTCAGTGGCGGCTTGGCATCATCCTTCGCTTTAATGCAACTCCAGTTCAGTAAAAGTTCAGGCAACCTACTTGCTTCAATGGTTTTATTTCAGCACAACACAAACACAGCAAAGTAAGTGGAGTAGTGGAGCACCTATTTGCACACTGATGACATAAAATGACTGACTACATTATAGCTACACTGCGAGCATACATTAGGACTACACTGTTTATGACAACGAATGGGGAATAAAACCTCACGCTACATCCAACGAGCTTTAATCACCCATTGGATTAGTCTCGGTTCAGTTGTGGGTGACTGCCTCCATTTGCTTCAGAGTGGCAACTAGCTTCAGGGACACATTAACACAGACTATGGATTGTCAACACTCCACACCAGATTCTCACGTCGGCAGAACCCCATTATGAGCCATCATGCAATAACTGTCCTCTTAATAGGATACAACTGTAAAATTTCAGCAAAGGAGCCCATCCAGTAATTATATACAAACACAGTCCCTGCTTTATGTGCTAATAAATAAGAAGCCAAAGATACTTCGGGTTCAAAATCTAGAGAAAAGACGCCAAAAACTTAGCAATCATTTCACATTTCCAAAAAGAACTGGAAATATGACACATAAAAGTTCTCCGGGGTAAAGTCTGGACTAAATGGCTTGTGTATGAAGGCTTCTGCGTTTGGGACCATGAATCAAACAGCCCTTTTTCAGAAATCCATTAGGCCTAAATAATAGCTTTCTAAATGCTTTCATTAGAGCCCTTTATTCAGTCCAACCACCAAATTAATCTGCTCAGGTTCTCCTACGAGCTGCTCAGATTCATAACGCTTGAATCTAAGAGCGCATCCATCATCTCACAGGAGGTATTTGTGGCCTATGAAGATACTTGGATGAGAAAAGGGACATAAAGTCAACATGTGTGCACGTCCTGCTGGCCAAACCAATAACAGACTAATAACCGGCCATAAAAACTACAACAAACATTATCAGCCTCAAATCTGTTGTAACTACTGTTGCCAAACAGTGTTACTGGCACTGTTCCTCAGTGATAGGTCTGACAGTCGGACACTGCTCTGACACTGGTGGCACCGTCTGCAGAAGCATGTTTCTCAGACATGACAAAACCTTGTCATTCTACTGGAAGTGCGGACTGGTAAATCTGTGGCCGCTTTATACTTCAGGAATCGGCATCAACGTCATGTAGCTTCTTGTGTGATTCTGAATATTTTAGCTTAACGGAGCTCAGCAGCACTGTGGGACTGCAGGAGGTTATCAAAGCTTTTACTTGTCTGTAACAACATGTATGACCTCAAAATGGTGCTAATGAGCACTAATTAAGAAGCTCTTTTATTGATCAACATGCTGCTTCTCTCTGTTATATGTGCCAGTAAAATTGCTTGTTGCTTTTTGGATTGTTGTTTGAATAAAGAAATAATCATAAAGGCTACCATGGCATTTTACTACTGACAGCATAAATGATAAGGAATCAGAAAATTGTTTGCAAATACAATTACAAGTGTTTAAAATGTCATCATATATCAAATAGAAAAGCAAAATAATTACAAGGTTTAGAGTTAGGAGAATGATTAAAAACTTATAACTAATTTAATACATATTTAATCTAGATAAACACAATATAGTATTATAAAACTATTCCAAATTATTTAGTTCCAAAACATGCAAAACAAAACCCAACCAGACAAAAGAAAGTGGCGTATGTGGCACCCGAGCAAAGAGAACATGCATCGTAAAAACTGAACATGCGGCCAACCAGCTCCACAACCCGGAGAGCAGGACACTATCACAAAGCTTTTAGTTGCGCTCTCACACTGGGCTCCTCTGTGTGTTACAGTTGGCAATCTGTTCACATTACATCACAGGTCGGGCAGCCTGTAAATCCCACCAATGAAATTTGATTCGAGTCAACCTCCAGGACATTTGGGAAAATGCAGACACCTTTGGGAACAAGTATGCCTGGTCAGCTTATACCCAAATAAATGTGCCTACAGCTTGCTGCTCAATTGCCTGTATCACAACACAAACAGCGATCCGTACTAACTTTATAATACTTTATAAAACTGGGCTGTGAAATATTAATCAGGAATTCCTTGGAGAAGTGGACAGAAAATGTGAGGGGAAATTAGCATAGCGAATGAGGAAGTGATGTCCTTTGGCTAATCACGAATGCTAATATATCCCGCTCTGTCCTTCCTTAAGATGAGTGTGTGTAGACGCTGAATGACATCCGTGTCCTTTAAAGAGTAATTATGGGAAAGACTTCTTCAGGTTCTGGTGTGACTTTTTTTTTTTTTGGTAAGGATATGCAGAATCTTTGTGCTCAGGTGCACATTTATTCATTCTCATTCAGAAGCTCTTCTGAGAGTCTCAGTTCATTGCAAGAGGTGATAATAAAAATTATCCGAGCCTCCTTTAATCCTCAGAAGAATCTGATCCTCATTCAGGTTTTTAGCAGGAAATTGGTTGTTACTTGTTGGCTGAACAACTGATTCGCTGGCTAGGGTCTGCTGCAAATTTCAAGACTGCTGATGCAACTGCCAAAAAGGGACTGTGCGGGATAAGTGCCGGAAAGCACACAGCCAGGCACGAAAAAGGTCAGGCACAGCTCAGGTTTGGATTTTGGGATTCAACCACGATGTTATTTAAGGAAAACAAAAGGCTGCCTGATTAGAGCTTCACTTAACAAATCATGGAAACTAGAATAGGAAAAGCAAGACCCTGCAGGTACACAGGAAGCAGAAACAAGGTGTCTGAGGACAGCATCTGGGCTGTGTAGCCAGGTGTACACCATTTTCAAAATTTCAAGACACCTGGACCCACATAGCCCAAACAGTAACACAATGTAGCTAAACTAGAATTACAAAATAGGGATGCGAGGACTGGGACTAAGTGGGGAGCTCTCAATAGTAGTATGAGGCCACGTGTCCTCTATTCTTAGTCTGCCAGACCCCCAAAAAATAAAACAAATTGCCTCCGTTTCCAGCCTTCCCCTTCAAAACTGGGTTGGTGTCCTGCTAGAAAGAGTCTCCCTGTAAACCTGCACCCAGACAGTCCCCAATTCAAGAACACCCAAAAATCACATTTTCTCTAATCTTTCAATCCATTAAATGAACTCTCTGCGGTACTGAGCCGCTTCGGCTTTATTTATTTAGTCAGTTTTTGTGAAAATTGTGTGATATGTCATAGTGGTTTATCCTGATCAAGAGCAGGACATCTGCAACTGTGTGACCCGAACGGTCGCCTGTGCACCTCTGCCGAGTCTGTGATGAGCCAAAGAAAGCTTTCAACAGGAGGTCTGTAATCCTCTCTGAACTCTGATGGCTCTGCTTTACAGTTTCACATTCCCGTTTATGCACAATCAGAAAAAGAAAAAAAAAAAAAAAAAGAGGGAGCCGCCTGAAAAGCAAGTGAGGTTCGGGTTAATTTAGTGAGATATTTTCACTGCATGTGTGTGAGGGAGTGGAGGCCAAAAAAAGGGGCCATTAAATCTCTGTAGCTCTGCAACACATGAGAATTGACGGCACAAATAAAGGTTAAATGAGCAACAGTTTTGCTGACCTAACTGTGAAAACAGAATTAAAAGGTTTGTGGTCAAGCATTAAAGCTGCAACTGCAAGAACAACATTTGCTGAATGCACCGTTTCACCGCAGAGCCCACAAGTATCCAAAGTACAACGCTCCACTGCCACATTAAAAGTAAACTTTCCTTCACATGCACTTCACTTTTTAGACACGTGGATTAACCACAGTCGCCCAAATAATGTATTTTGCAGGCAACAACATGCAGGTGAAAGTGCGGTAGCATGCACGGGGGCGGGGAAGAGGCCCTGATTGTGTTTTATGTGCATTGTTTAGAACATGTTTAGAAAATGTGAACCTGTCTCTATTTCTAGTAAAACCCAATAAGTGCCATATCATCATTATTTTTGGTGCTGCTGATGCTTGGCTTTTATTTTTTAAATCTTACTGTAATTTTTTATGTTTATGCATTAGCGCCAACAGCTGCACCTTTCCGCGGAGCTATTAAAACTGTGTTACGCACTAGTAGTAGACAGCGTAATTGTTTTTACTGTAATGTGCTCATTATTTCACAAATAAACTGGATGTCAAATTTATACAAAAACCCCTCAATTAAACAGACAGGGCAAACACAGAATGAATTACTAGCTCTGTGAGGGGGGTGTGGTGTTGGAAACTGATTCATCTAATGTCTTTTGTTCTCTCAAATCTCTACATATGGTATGATTAGTGACACCGAAGACGAGGTGCTACAAAAAGGATCATCCCACTGGCATTCTGTGGTCTAATCCAGCAGTTATTGAGAGCTTTGGGATGACAGAGATTATTCCAATGCAGACACGAAGAGATTTACCTCTAGTCTCTGCACCATCTCCCGGATGTCTTCTCCGCAGTTGTCGTGAGCAGACAGCATGACACACTCGCCCCGTTCATAGAAAATCTTAATGCTCATAATCCCTGAGGTCCACCCGATGACGTCGCGGCACGAACAGTTGAAGATCACATTTTTTGATTCCTCCTCAATGAGCACAATGAACTCATTGGATATACCAAGCAAGCAGTCAAAGTCCAGCGACTGGCCAAAGTCCCGGGCACGGACGCTCCAGGTGATCGCTCCCACGCTGAACAGATGCGCGTCCTTCCTGGGTTTCACCTTCTCCTTCTTCTTGCCTCCGAGGCTGATGAAGCTGAATTTGACAGCTGAGTCGATAGTGGCCGTGCTGACGAAGTTCTCGGCTAGGTCCTTCAGGTACTCCTGCCGCGTACGAGTCGCCATGGCCCGAAACTTCTCCGACTTGTGTGCTGCGTTCTCCCCGTTGATGACCTTGGCAAGCAGGAAGTCCCTGAAAACCGCAGACTTTGGAAAAGTTACAGACTTGGGAATAGGGGGGCCAAATGGAGGCACGTCTTTAGATCTGGACACAGCCACACTGGAAAAAAATAAAATGCGGGAGTGACAGTTAAGAAAAAGAGGAGCGTAGATATTGAAATGAATGAATAATGAGCAGGCGCTGAAATTATATGCCTTTTGGTAAAATTATTTCTGCTGAGACTAATCTTTCTCCCTTCAACAAATGCTATGTTATTAGCAAGAGTCGTCTTGACTTCAGAAACTCTTGAGTCGTAATTCATAAGTCATAATTTCAAGGTGTCTCTGAAGATAATAACTGTATCATCACTGAGCAGATGAAAAGAGCCCTGTGATTCTGGCGCATTACTATGAAGTCATAAGAGAAACCACAGAAATCACTGAGCAAGCTATTATTATTATCCTTTTAAATTAAGTGCTCTTAAAAGTTCACGCAGAAGAGCCACTTGACACAAAGACATCTATGAAAAACACATCAGAAGATCAACACGTTCGCCTAAACTGTCTCGAGCACACCATTTCGCTTCTTATCCCGTGGTGTAGCACTCTAATATTTAGTGGTTTGACTCAATGCCACCAAACTCAGATGTTTTTCTACTTTCTTCTACCCTGCACGCTTTTCTTTACCAACCAGAGTAAAAAACAGTTTTGGGAGTGCCTTGCAGGCGTGATGCATGCTTGTTCCATTTACCTGTAGCAGACGTTATCAGTGCACGGGTTGTGGACTTTGACAATGACAAACACATGCTGGAAATGAGAGCGGATGTTTTTTGGAGTGAAAGGAAGGGCCCCGGGCTCCTGAAACACTATGGTGACAATGTCATTGCCAATGTGCCTCTTCCTTAGCAACTGCAAGAGAAAAAGGAGAAATGGAAATTAAATTAGATAAAAGATGAACACAGTCAGGTTAGTTTAAGAGTACAGAAGTTTGGAAAACACATTATCGCTTTAAGATTTCAATTCGAATGAGAGCATGCGAGTGTTTTTCTGAACAAAGGCCAGCTGTGTGTCAGTTGCAGTGACTCAACAGTCACACAAAAACTTCTTTCTCAACTTAGCAAACATTTGCTAACATTAACCATGATAAGCCACCGATCAATACCAGACAAACTAAGGTGTAGCACCAAGTGCTCATATGTACTGGACCTTTTATTACTTAGAAATTTTCCCAGCAAACCTTAAAGTATCATGCCTATAGCCAAGAAAAACAAAGAATTTTGGGTGGCAAAAACGTCCTCATTAATGGACAGAATGGACATCTCTTATAAACCAGGAAATGATACAAAAGCTTTTTTTTAATGCAACAAGATTTGATTGACAGCTCTGATAACAGCCATAAACCACATGTCACAGGACTTAAAACAAAAACAACAAAAACAACAAAAACAAAACCCCCAAAAAACATGCCAGTTATGTAAAAGTTCCTTATTTAATTAACCCTATGATGCCTGAACCAAGGTGGTTATATTAACTAAAACTTGAGGTATTGACAGACGTGTTTATGGATATCTGGATTTTTATAACACTACGAATCACTGCTTTCAAAAAGTTATGTTTTTATTATACAGCCTGATTTCCCCAAATCTTGCCTGTGACTTATGCTCTTGGTACAATAATAATGAAGAAAAAAAGCCTAAAACTAACACTGAAACAGGCTAAACTAAACATTTTCAAACAACAAAAACTAAACTGAAATAAGAAAATCCACTTGAACTTGAAAACAAAAGGTCAAAATGAAATAATAATAATAATAATAATAATTAAAATAATTAGAAAATACAAAACTATAGTAACTGTAGTCTAGTCATTAAATAAAAAAATTTACATTTTTTTGAAATTGGAATGTTTATTGAACTTTTTGACAAATTAAAAGAAAACAAATTAGGTTTTGCTACATCCAGAATTTTTATTTATTAATTGTTTAAAAAAAATGTACAATTTGTTCAGGCTTTTCGAACTCTACAGGTAATGCTCATGTATCAAATATGATACACTTGGCATTAGAGGGATAAATTCCTGTCTCATTGATTGGGCCTCTGCACAATCTTGTGGCGTGTACGTCACGTTCTCAGTAGGACATTGTGTGGTAATTGAGAAAATGAGGTTGTCATCGTTTATGTTTCCTTCCCACGGGCCTTTCCTTTGGAAACAATTTTTCAATCATAGACTCATGGGTTGCAACAAGCTTTGATACAACTGATGGGACAAAACCTGTTTAGCATCATTTTCCTGAATTAACATTTGAGCATCTTTATTACACTGAATGCAGGGACGGGGGGCATCAGTTCATCCCCTGCACGAAAAAAAAATAAATCAATCCTTTGAGTAAGCTCTCACATTTTGCCCTTCTCCTCGACAGAATCACTGTTCCTGGTTTGGATACAGAAACTTTACTGGACAAAGGGATTTTTGGGTGGTAGAGATATCAACTAACTCAATTTAGGATTTGTGTGTGAAGGGCACATGTCCACTCAAACCCAATTTATACTGCTTGTATTGTTGGCCTGTGCAGGTCATTAACCCCCATTCTCTGGTTGGTGTGAGCCTGTCAGTCAGGGTCAGTGAGAGCCCGAAACAAGCAGGATTAGAGGGTGCAGGGGTGATTTGGAAATGATGAAGGGATGAACAGGTCAAGCTCTGCTTGGCCCTGCTGGAATATTACCACCAGGGATTAAATCAAACAGTGCCACTTTATGAAATACAATTGGATGAAAGGTAAAGAGAAAAAAAAACACCACCAATCATATGTTTCTACGCTCACTTGTTAGATGTTTTAGACTGTACATCCAGCCTCCATCAAGGTATTCTAATCTCTACAGGGTGGTGCCCACAGGTTGTATTATGGACTCAAAAAGTACAACCATGTGATCGGCATAGAGATTAATACAGTGAATGTCTGTAATCTTATCTTTAGAGGGCCATCGTTCAACAGTCCACTGCTACATCCACCTAATTCCACTTGTTAGCACGGACAGACAGAGGTCCATCTAATACCGCGTCTGCTTCAGCCCCTGGGGAAGCACTGATTAAAGTCCTACTATGGGGTACCGTCGCTATGGCAATGCTCGTGCTTTCAACTCATAGGTCATTACCGTGGCGAAATGAGTCTCTGGGGAAGATTGGCAGTAGTCAGGATAGGTGATATCCTAAAAGGAACTTGCTCAAGGATTTATTAAAGCTATTAGACATCAACTGAGTACACAGAAGGGCAAGCATGGTGGTGTGCTGCAGAAGATAGAGCCTGAAGGGTACAGTTTACTCACCTGCTGCCGGTTGTTGGGTGTGTAGGGGAGCATGGTGGACACGTGAAACATCAGCTCGTAGTCTTTATAGGTAGTGTAAAGAGAGTGCGTGCCTGTGGAGTCCGCTATAAGAGAAGACAGGGAGGTCAGGGTCTCAGGCCAGATTGCAAAATGTTAGCTGATCTGATGATATCATAGAACAAAAATTAAGATTGAAGATGCACTACAGTCCCTGTAAACACATACAGCGGAGCATCTGCACTCAGCAGGACTGGAAATGTGTGGGTTAGCATTTGTGGATGTTTAGCTTGGCGAGTGTGTTGTGCATTTTATCTTACTCTTGTTATCCAGCTGAGCTCTGTACTTGGTGAAGCCTTTGAGGCGCACCCTCTGACCAAGCAGATCCAAGAACTCATCCAGCGCTGGGCCGGCACTCTCGTTGTTGTACATCTCTTCCTCTGTGCTCTGGCCAGCCTTGCAGTAGAGTACTCCCACCTTGTGCTGGAAGCTTAGCTGGAATGAGGAAAATAGACATAGACACTCAGTGAGTACCATTTCCTGTTGCTGATCGGTATCACGCACACCACACTCATACATACTGTATATTAAGCACTCAAAGCATGCAAGTGCCCACTTTCCATCATGTCACAGCTAATGTGAAGGCCTTCATAACCCTTCTTGGGGGGGAGAGAGAGCTGAAATCCCCTTTTGTGAAGCTAGGCTATGAACTCTCAGGAGCACTGTGCAGAGTATAAATCAACCTGAGCTATTAGCTGCTACTTAAGAGCAGCTGTGGGGCGACAAGGGAGTGGATTACAGACATACAGCAGAACAGTTTCGGTTTATGAAAGAAAACGGCATAATCTGCCAACAACAGCATTTCAATACTTTCTAATGGACCTCTTCCTTAGGAGATACTTTTGTAGCTGTGAAATACTAGGAAGATTGTTTAACAAATGTGTCTACATACAGATATACAGACGTCTTGTTTATTGAGAAGACCATCTAAAGGCATAGAAAAGGGAGCCAAATCTCTCAAGTTTCCACCACAAGCGTTGCTGTAATTCAGAAATGTCTGATATGAACTCATCTCCTCAAGAGACAGGAAGAAATAAAACATCTGGAGTGATTCTCTTGTGAGATTAGTGTGAGAGCATCTCTCCACTACATGAGTTCTAAGGCTTACACCCTCCCAATGATGGCAGAAGATGGAAAGAAAAAAAGGGTCAAGGGTGGAAACAAATAGATGAGGAGGCAGCCCCTTGCGTTTGGCACCTGTTGCCCTTTATTCACAGCTTCACCTTCATCTTGACCCAGAGTCAATGTGTCGGTACGGCGGGAAGAAAGGGTTTCTCTGAATGTGGATGCTGACAAATGGTCTATATACTGAAACAAATTGGAATTGTCTTTTTCCTCCGTTACAGGTTATGATTTCCCGGTGTACTCCTGACACTGTTGTCATGGTGACTTCCTCCCATCAGGCAGTCTGTTCTGCACTAAAGCTCCTGCGGTTACCAAAAGCTATTATACCATCAAGCCCCGTGGAAATGGCATGATGTGCAATGATGTGGCCTTCTGTCTTTTATCCTGTGTGATATGGACTCGCTTGACCTCCAGCTCCTCTTAACAGCCTAACCGATAGGGAGGGTAATCACATTAACCTTTGGGGCGAATTTGAAAAGTGCAAGCACACAGGACATATAACAAAGATACAGATGAGTAGTGCTCCTTCGGTGAAGCTTGTTGCATCACCGTCTGTGATGGCTCTTTTTGGAGTGGCATTAGCTTTGGTTAAGGTGGAGCTGTATCCCATTTAACAGATCTTGCCAAAAATCTTAGCAAAGAAAGCATCTCCAATTTTTCTCCATCTGTCCAGAGCTGCAGGGCGTTGAAAACTGAACTCCTGCTCATTCATTTAAACAAAAGCTGAAACTAAAATAAGAACACACAAACAACAAAAGACACATAATGAGTGGAGAAAGAAATTGGGACAGTGTTTCCCCCGAAGAGCTCTGAGCGGCTCCTGAGGGATGGCGTGGTGTGACATATGTCTGCGCTGCAGTGTCCTGATGCAGCAAAAATCCAAAATGTGGCTACTTAAACCTGGCTACAATCACCACGCACCACTACACAAACATCTGCTGGGGTTATTGCATTAAAGTGTCACTACAGAAACTTCTCCAACTTTCAATGTAAGGCCAGGGGATTTTAAAAAAACGCAGTGTTTGTAATTGCAAAATTTCCTGCACTTATTCTTTGTTTATGCTATGAATGCGATCACTGCAGGGAGATTAGCTTTCTAGGTTAGGGAGAATATCATCTGTCAAACATAACTTAGAGGAAAAGGTCAGTAACTGTTCTCTAACCTCCTCAACGTTGTCATTACTGTCATGACACACTCATATTTTCCTCTCACTTTCAAATTTATGAGTATTACCAGTGCTTGTAAATTCACAACTTTCATTTTCTAACTGACACAGATAATAATAAACTAAAGAATTTTAATTTTCCAGATTTGAGTCTTTAGATTGAAACAGCAGATACACATTGAAAAATCAATGGCTTACAAAAAAAACAAAACCTAATTTGTAAATTTCTTACTCAAGATCGCATCTCTAAAATCTCATTAGCTGCCAACTCCTTTTCCACAGTCCATCTGCGCATAGTCAATTCACTGTGATCTACAATGAGATCTAAAATACATTCACATATGCTCTCTTCTCTTCTTACGTCCTAGGCTGTTACGGCGCAGTCTACAAGGCCGCTTTCAGGGATATTCTTTTTGCAGATGCAGGAGACCCTCTCTGACTCTGTTCACAGCAAGAGGAAGCACTTAACAAAGAGACTAACATCTAACATCTCCAAAGAATTGCGCGCGCGCACACAAATCCTCAAAAATATGCACTTTAGGGGGGAAAAAAAGTCAGGCAGATCATCAGGCTGCAGTTCTTCCTGTCCCGTATCAGCTTCCTCACATAAACACATTAGAGGAGCGGTCAAAGTCCAGCTTGGTTAAAAAGCAGATTAAGGAGTGCCTGACATATTGAACATTTGCCCGGCAAGAATAACATTAATGATTATAACAGGAGTGTGCAAAAATACTGACATCCAAATATAAAACTGGCTTCCACTGGGCTTTTGGTTTGAGGTCTGCGCAGAGGAGTGCCAACTGGAAGAGCTTCAAGCCCCACTTAGCCTGGGCTCTCCTCCTCTGAAGGCAGTTTCTTGAGATTATTTTATTGCTTTTTTTTTGCCTCCCATGTGTCAGTTTCATCATCTATCAAACTCTTTATCTGCAGACATGGGGAGTCGCATGGCAGGTGAACAAACCCCTGTAACATCTGGTGGGAAGAACTTCCTCCAAGCACTTATTTACAAAGTTACTTTGACATAATTGGACACATAGAGCCTGCCACCGTGAGTGCATTTAACTTGCTTTAGAGAGGACACTTCATTGCTCTTGTTTATGTGTGTAACGAAATCCTAACACAGAAGAGGGTCTTGGCTGACACTTTCTATTATAAGAACCTTTCCCCTGTCAATTGGAAGGATGGGCGCACGCTAACGAATGTAATTAAACTAATAAGCAGACAATTCTCTGATGGTGAAACAAGTATCACCCCTGGCTAATCCTTCCACTCTCCATTCCATCTTTTTTTCCCCAGTTTCATTACATGAGAAATTAAAGGCCTTCCGATCACGCAATGAATCTGTGACAGCTGTGAATATAGAGAGCCCATATCACTATTAGCAATTTTATTCAAACAGAGATAATGCAAGATGACACCCTCCACCGTCTGAGCAGCATACCAAATCTCCTGCTCTCAGGCAAAGTAGGCTGTCAAAAGTAAGTTACTCTAACTTGTGTGCAAGTGTCCTATCAGCACAACAAGTGTGCCAAAAACAGATGGTGCTGGCTGCAGAGAGTACAGGACTTCTATTGATTCTATTTAAGCGTGATATTGTCTGCACCTCGGCCCAGGAGTCTGTGTTATCTATCTATAACAAGCAGCCCGTATATAGGACAAAGATCCCTGCTATTTGAAGTTAATCCCTCCCAGTTTCCTTCTATAGCTGAGGTAAATGTCACAAATAGAGACACATACGCCTGAAATATGTAGCGTGATGTGCTAATGCAGTCAAAACAATCTTTCGTTTCTGATATGTGGCTGCGGTGGCTTTAAAATTAAACACCTGGAAAATCTCTGGACAGACGAGGCTTTCTTCCCTCCTCACATACAGAGACGCACGTTTGTTAACCTGCTGCATCTTGTTAGCGTAACCTGTCTAGGTTTTGTGATTCACTATTGTTTGTCCAGATGCAGTGACCTCCTGGAGTGCTGGTTGGCAGCCTCACAGTTATGACTCCACAGTGAGTCACTTCGTCTCGACAAGTAGTAGTCCTGCATGTAATGCATCACCCCGTAAAACTACAAATGGTAGTATTTACGCAATTTTTTTCCCATTTTTTTCCCCTTTCTTTTTTTTTTTTT